GTAAATTAACGCATTGAAACCTCATCAAATACGTAGCTATAATTGTTCAAGATCATGTATTTATGAAGATTTACATAAATTGAGAAGTAGGTGATATCTCTGACCGTCCATTTAGGAATTTGATCCAAATGGTAATAAAGTACCCACTGACAGTTATTCTAAAGTATGTAATACTATGAATTCTACATTACCTTTTTTTTATTATTTATGAGTAGTCGACTATGCTTGTTCTGAATACATTAATTTTTAAGTTCTTGAAAGCTATTAGTATATGACGGCAGTGATGCATGGAACATTTTAAGTATATAGACACACCACAAGTTGTCGTATAACGTACGTTTGAAAATACCTCAAACAATTTCCATTGCATTTTTCCGGCCTTGCATATGCCACTGTCCTTTAATCATTGCTTAATTTATAAAAAAAAAACAACATCTGATTAAGCAAACAACTAAACTAAAATTTTTTGTGCTACTCCCAGTTTGCACAAACCAATTGAGGTACCAAGAATGCAATGTATGTAATAAAATGCTCATAGCTCAAATTTGGCGACATTTGAAATTTGTAGACTTATCCTTAATGAGGCCAAAATGTTTCGGATTTTAAATTTGCAATAGCTGCAAAACGTATGTATTATTTCATTCAATTGTATTTTCAGCGTTTTATTTGGGATCAATTGTTGTTGATAAACATGTGGCTTGGACGAGATTTGAACTTGCACCTTCGGGATACTAGTCCGCCGCTCTACCTGTTGAGCTACCAAGCCCACAAGAACTGGAGCCGAGTCAAATCTCTTTTAAACTGCGTATGGACAAGAGATTCTCGCCCCTATAGCAGTTTACTGGATGGCACCGTGTTTCGACTTTATTCCAAAGCCATCATCAGAGTATATATATAATATATTTATCCTAAGGATACTAGTATCCCTAGGTGCGAGTCAAGTCTCGTCCAAGTCAAATGTTTTTCATGTGCATATTCAAAACCGTGTTAGGATTAATATATTATATACATACTCTAATGATGGCTTTGGAATAAAGTCGAAACATGGTGCCATCCAGTAAACTGCTATAGTGGCGAGAATCTCCCGTCCATACGCAGTTTAAAAGAGATTTGACTCGTCTCCAATCCCTGTGAGCTTCGTAGCTCAACAGGTAGAGCGACGGACTAGTATCACGAAGGTGCGAGTTCAATGTCACATGTTTTTCATGTGCATATTAAAAACCGTGTTACGATTAATATGTTATATATATACTCTGATGATGGCTTTGGAATAAAATTGTTGTTGAATCATGCAAAGCCTAAATGTTAGATGATTTCAAAGATACTCATCTTTGTTTTTTAGAGGCAACTATTGCCTGAAATAATTTGACAGGCATGCATGTCTTGATTATAGTCTACAGCTATAGATGAAGAAATAACGACAGAAAATAGTTCAAGGTAAGAAAAAAGTCAATTTGTAACAAGACCGGGATAGGGCTAAAAGTTTGTTACATAACTTATGCAGTCAATGAGTCTCAGTGTATGCAATACATTTAATCGTCGATTACAAAAATAGTCAATTAAAAAAGACTTAAGATTTACGGAGGTCCTTACCGAGGAAAACCTGACCGTAGTCTCGTTAAACAAGGTTTGTACAAAAAGACAGCGGTCCCATATTTCTCAGTAAACACCTAACAGGTGAAAACAAGAAAAGTTATTTGACTTGACACGAAACTTTCGTTCTTACCTCTGTATCGCTGTTTTATTAAGGTTAGCTTTCACTCCTGATTTTCAAGAGTAAAGAAGAATCGTTTGCGGTTGTGTCATTTATATGATAAAAGTTAATTTTCCTGTGCTCTTGACTCCGACTCGCATTCGAACGTGGCTTGTTAGTTCGCTTTTGGCGTTTATTTTAGTTTTAGTAAATTTGATTAGTTTTTATTACAAAGTAAGGAATATGTATAAGGGTCACTCGTGTCACACTATACAATGTCGTTGTCTTCTTTCAAATCAGCCGTCATTTATCTGGTTTATGTTTTTTTTTTGAAACATTAACTTGAGTCTAACTATTTAGGAATGACGTCATTTGTCATTTATATTTGACGCAAAAAATGTGACAAACCAAAACCAACTGCTAGAATAATGGTGGACGTGAGGAGAGTTTGCACACCTAAATGACCGTTCTGTTTTAACTACTATTCCGTATAGCTATTATAAAAATAAAGCGCGCTTTTTCACAGGAAATGAAGCATGTGCTCAAAACAGCAAAAAATTTATAGAAACATTTGTAAAATATGCAGAGTCCGGAGTCGGAGTGCAAAGTCCCTCCTCACTTTTGAAGATTGATACTTCTAATACACATTCCAAACTTTCCACTGCATGCTTGAATAAAATGGGAAATGCGGAGTCCCACAAAAATGTTTTATTCCTCAGAATCACACGCTTACAACACAAACTCCGTAAAAAGTGCTCATTTTAGTTCGAGAAGAGGACCATTTTCAGTCAGACATCACATTTTTTAATATATACGCTATAGAAGTGTCCATCTTTCTAAGAGAAAAAAATGAGCACTTTTTTTATAAAGGTATCAAAAAACTGCTTCTATGTGAAGTCACACAACATTTAGAATTGGCATTATTCAGCAGAAATTTATCTGGAAATAGGTCTAAACGCAATCGAAATGACTTTTGTGCTTGGGATTTGAAATGTGCAGTAACCTTACATAATGAATACAGAGTGTGTTTGTAACCTTATCTGATTTATCTTGCTTTTTCTGCATTACTTTTTTATTGGCACCTGTAAATAGCCAGCGTACGTCATATCATTCTTGGTTAAAAGATTTCAAGATTCCATCCAGTGTAAATGTGGCCAACTTGTTACTAATGCTGCTAACCATCGCTAAGGCACATTATTAGAGCAGGGCCGTTCAGAGAAATTAAGAACATTTAGCACAACTAAATTTTGGGTGCCCTTCTTTGTGACCTGACATATATTACAATTTTCTATTTATTCGTATTTACATTTAAAGGCCCGATCAATATGCCCCATTACCACCTCCCCATAACGGTCATGTATTAGAGAGCTTTTTGTCATTACAAATGCTTTTAGTATCCCTCAGCTATGTATATTTTATATAATATAAGCTGTTTATTCACTTTGAACATACACTTCTAGTGGGAACCAAATGTTAAGAACGCCTTAAGAGTGGTAAGCTGACAAATGAAAAAAGAGTGCATTGAATAGACAAATTTACTTGCCAATTACAGCACAGCACACAGTCTTAGTGACTGCTGCCAAGAGAAACCAAATAGAAATGCTGCTGATACAGCAGTATCCATGCTTAAGTGGATCATTTGGATCAGGTCATGAAAGTATAAAAAGTTAAAGTCATATTTAATGATTTTCTAAACATTATAAAATACAACAAGAGCGATCGCTTGTTTACATCTCCACGATTTCTACTTAATCATTCGTTGGTTAAGATAGTCATGCTTTTATAAAAAAGTTTGATGCTATCTTGTTTATGAAAATAGAAAACTTTGCTGTCACTAGCTACGAGTATTACGTTTGCACAAGACTTGCAGATGCTCTTTTGGGAAAACGTGGTAGTTACGTTCTCGTGGATCTTACGTAAAAAATCTACCGCTTTTTGGAATGGGCTATGTCATAAGACACTTACTTTCTTTCTAGTTCACATTTGCTCCTTATCGTTTAACATAATAGCAAAGATAATTCTATCATCAAACTACTTTTTAACAAATCTGGCAGAGAAAATCAAAGATCGCCTGCTAAATATAGGAAGGAAAACTGCGAGAGAGGTTAAAGTTTACATATTCTTGGCATGAAAATTACATCATGCATTCTATGTTAGATATTTTTGACAAAACATTTTTCTTACTTACTATCCTGTTATAGTGTAACATTCTTGGCAAACTTCCATTGTTCGTTCACTCCCTGAAGAGAGGCTGGGCACCACTTAAAGCCCGTTTCCACTTAAGAAATTTTTCAAAAGAATGTTTAATTTTTCACATTGCACACGCTTTCGCCAGACCAATAACACAAAGTTGAAAAATCTCTTCTCGAATAAATATTCAATTTTCCTTCACTGGAAAATTTGATGCATATTTTACCATACTTAGCGCATGCGCACTATGAAAAATTTTACGTTTTGTGCAAAATTTTCTTTCGTAAAAACGGGCCTTTACAATTGTTGTGTAACTAGATTGTGTTTCGTATTTTTATAAACAAATTATAGAAAGAACTCGGAAGACGCTGGTTTGGTTTATGAGAAGAAAAAGGCTGGTAGAAAACGGAAATTAGTTGAACCATCACAAATTATTCCAGATATACCTGAAGGGGAATCAGAGATAACATTTAATGACCAGCGTGATCAGTTAGTGGCTTTTTGTAAGAGCAACAAGCAGGACATGATGCTTGTACGACAGTTGATGGATGGGACCTTCCCCAAAAGAAGAAGACATATCATCGAAGAAAACGAAAGGGTTTTGAAAGTTGTTAAGGTCTACTCACCCTTTGCCAAGGATAAAGGAATCTAGGTTATTTATTCGTTGTATATACAAAGTGTGTAAAAAACTGAAAAAGATAGGGAAACATTGCTATAGTTATCAGTGTGCAAGATCTGCAAAATCCTTTAATGATATAGACAGTTGGACTTCCAATGGATTATCTGACAGAAAATTTTGCAAATAAAAACCATTTTTAGAATGACAATTGTGTTACCTACAAGCTCTTTTGAAATAGCTTGCGCACGAAAACGACAAAGCGAAAGACCATGTGGAACACCTAGGGTTAAAATTTGTTACATGTTGTTCAAGCTTACAAACTTCCGTAAAATTTGGCGAAACTGTGCACGAACGCTAAGCATCCAAATTGAGAATAAGTTTACATTATTTTCTTTTTTAAATGCCATTTTTTTTGAAACTTTCATTAGTTATTCATATTTGGATTAATTAAACCACAAATTTAGGCATAATTGAGGAAGATTATAACAAGGTCGGCACTAGATCATGGTCAACTAACGTACGCGCCCACATATTATTCTTATTATGTCAGCGGTAAGTAACAATTGACGAATATTCATGTATTCATTATGCGAATGATTTTACCGCACTACATATGGCAATAAGGCAAATTGGCAATAGAGAAAGCGAGAAAAGATTACAAAGATTTCAATTCAATTTTTGTGAGATGTACTTTCTTTGAAATGTCTGCCTTGCAGAAGTAATGGATTGATAGTATTTTACAATACAATAACCGCACTTCAAGAATTGCAAATTCACTGGACCTAAGGTGAACAATGTGATGTTATAAAGTAGAAATCGACTCTATTTGTATTATAGATATGATATTAAATATTTTCCTGTTATTTGTAGTACTAATAAAAATTATTATAGATGATAAACACACCCATCTAGATTCGTATCTTCAAATTTTTTTCAAAACTTCCTGCATAATAATATAAAGTTTGTGTGTTTAATGTGTTTGACTGTTTGTCCATACTTGCTTGTAATTTTCTGATTTGAGTTAATGTGCAGGTGTGGTAACTTTTTTATCTTTGTTAAAGTTATTCTCAGGAAATTTAGAAAACTCATTGTCTCCAGCAGTGCCATCCACACAGTGAACCACAATCTAACTTAAGTGTTCATTAAATGAAATGGATAGTTTTCAATTGAGCATATTGATTTATCACGAAAAATTGATAGGTAATCATAGTACAGGTGCAGCCAGATTGAATGTTGAGTTGTGATATCAATCACAGCAGCTAATTCATACATGTTCCTGAAAATACTTTAAAACAAGAAATGGTAACAATATATCTTAACATGTAACACTGGGTATTCTCTACATTCATCTCTGGCAAAAATTTTCACATTGAATCTCTGAGCACCAAAATAAATTCTATTATGGAAAAACAGATTGTTTAGAAAAACCTTTGAGCATATAATTCCTTCCATTGTCAAAGGGTTTTTCGAACAGTTTAAAAGGCTCCCACCTGCTTTTGTTATGCTTGTGGCATAGACCCAGTGCTGTAGAACATAACTAGCCTTAGATGCAACTCTCTCAAATAGTGAAATGTAATTGTAAAAAGTCATTGCATGATGTCATAGTGTTTGCAAATAATATTACCACTTAACATGAACAAGTTTCTTTATCAATTTTGTAAACTAAAAATCTTTGTCAAGTTGGGGTGCTCTGTGCTCTGCAATGACCATCCATAATTTCATGAAGAATGCTCGACTTCCATGCAACCACCTCCCAAACAGCATTGAATGCACCATTTCTTGATTTTATGGTCATATGAGAAGATACAATGGCATTTCGCTAAATGTTTTTGGAGCAACAAAAAATTCATATTTTCCTACATTGTAAAATGGCAACTTGCCATACGTATATTCTTCTAAACATAAAAAGCGTGGGAAATCATGGAATTGTTGCCAAATGCTAGTTCGAAAATGGAGTTTCCAATGAAGTATGCGGAGAGTGAAGCAAAAAACAACAGCAGTTTAGACGAAGGTATTGTAATATGCAATTCCAAAGAAGAAATGCTGGAAATATTCGGTGATTATAAAAAACAAACTCGCAGTGGGTGGTGCTGTCTCAACAGAAATAAATTGATAGGTATATATTATATAATAACTTCAATGCAGAAAGCATACGCTTGTCCAGAGATATACTAATTTTTGGTTATTGTGCAATGGTGAAGAAGAAATTTCACAAAATTTCATACACATATTAAAGCCGAACTTTTGTTTAAATTTTAAATATTAAAGCATGATAACATGTATGAACCGAATACTTAATGATAACATGTATGAACCAAGTACCTAATGATGACATGTATGAACCAACTATTTAATGATGACATGTATGAACCAACTATTTAATGATGACATGTATGAACCAAATACTTAATGATGACATGAATGAACTGATGTAAGTGTTTAATAGACAAGACTACAGACGAAATACTCGCTGAGAAAGGTTCATTTGAAAGTATTACCCAAGCAATTCAATGTCACAATATTGGTCACCACTGGATGGTTTCTACATCCATAACTGGTGAAATAGTAGTCTTTGAATCTATGAGTATCAACCTGAATTCATCATTAAAAAGGCAACTCCAGAATGTTTAGAAAAACCTCCAAGAACAGGATGGTTCTTTAAACGTCAAAATGATTCTCCAACAACGTCCAAAGGATCATCAGATTATGGTCTTTTTGCTGTGGCAAATGCTGTTGCTTTGGCTAATGGTGTGAACCCTTGCTCTGTTGCCTGGCTGCAGGAGAAGATGCGAGTGCATCTGGTCAAATGCTTTGAAGAACAAAAAATCGAGATGTTTCCCCATATTGAGAATGCAATGCAAACCTGCCATTCAAAAAATTATATTCTGTGAGAAAATAGTAATTGTAAGCATCTAACATAAAAATAATCATGTATCGCTTCACTTTTGCTTGCAAACATGTACACTGTAATTGCTCAAATTGGAACCCCTTGACAAATCATGCATGTATATATCTGTAAATAATATTAAACAAAATTAACATTTTCTATTTGTGAATCATGGACATGGTATTTATTTTTACAACTAACTGGGGACATATAACTAATACTGTCTACAAAATGTAGAAATAATAAATTTACCTTATAAATTTACACAGTTGTGTAGTGAGCCCGGAAGATAATTTGGTCGTGGTATGTAAATTTGATATTATTATCAATAAACATTTCTTTAGAAATCTGTTGTTTTTACAGTTAGTGAACAAAGAAATAATTGTATAGTAGAGCAAAATAAAACGGGCTGGATACGCCACTGTTACGTTCATTGTATATTGTTCATTGCTTCTTCGAGTATCGTTATGATGATTTAAAATCGTTGAGCATATGACAATATATGTAAAATACAAAGAATACAAAACAATAGATGTGTAAAATAGTAAAACTATCCAAACCTGAAATCGAAAAACGAATTCTTCTCGTCATTTAGCCGCATATCGGTTAAATACGCATATGAAACTTGTTATTCTCAATGGTTATTCTATATTTTAGTGGTTTGTCACAGCTTATAGGTAATTACCAATGGTAATTACATAACATGAATATTCGTCAATTGTTACTTACCGCTGGCATAATAAGAATAATATGTGGGCGCGCACGTTAGTTGACCATGATCTAGTGCCGACCTTATAACAAGATGTTATTTAAACCCAAAAAGTTCAAAATAATTTGCAATTTGAAAGCTATGCGTTCGTGTACGCATCAGCCAAATTTCTTAAAACTTTGTTAGCTTGTACAGTATGTGTCATATAGCTGTTGACGTTGAATGCCCCAAGAATGCTCAATTCTGTGGGTTTGTTAGAAACAGCTAGTTAGTGTGTAGGTATACACAATTGTTTGGGTAATACAGTTTAAGTGATTGTCATAAGTTATCGTGATTGTAAACTCTTTGTCTTAATATTATATATCAGTACCATAGAGAATATATACAAAAACAAAAATGGTATATGTGTTCACTTTTAGATAAAAGTTGAGTTAAGTAGAATCCAGTAGCAGCGCGAACGCGTGTCACAAGATATTAAAAGAGGCATTTAAAAGATAGGATCTCGATTCCAAATATATAATAAAAAGCAAATTGTCAGTTGGAAAAGATTTTCTACTGAAAATATTTGTCTGTTCACGTTTATTATTTAAATTTCATTGGATAATAAAATATTTATAACATCATTAAAGTCCATCATTGTTTGTTACACTTTTAATTGTTTACAGTAAATATTGTAAAATTAAAGAAAAAAATAAATGAACAATATTTGTTTACGAATCAAACTATACTTATAGATTTAGTTGTTGACTTTAAATCAATGAACGTTTATATGAAATGAGAGTCCCAAGATGTATATATTGTTCACTTGACTTTACAAAACATATAAAGGTTTGAATTATGAACTTCAAGCAGGAGGTGGGATGATTTTAAGTTAAATACAAGTGGCTTACACACCTACAGGCTATTTCGTTAATGTTATTTGCGTTTATGTAGACAAAGAATGATATATTTTTCTCAAGAGTCAGTTTTTCCGTGTTTAATTAATGTTTAATGCCAAAAAATGTTTTATTGTGAGGTTGAATTTGCAAATGTATCAGGAATGCATACAGGGTCTACTACTCTACTTACTATATTCGGTTATTTTAGATAATTATCTACAAACAAAGCGAGAACAAAATAAAATAGAATGAAATTTTTACCTTATGTGAAGCCAACTTGTACAAAATTTCCCTCTGTGCTCAATTTTCGTAAAAAAAAGGCATCTTGAAATGCGAAAAAATAATTTTGAAAAAAAACAATGATTTTTTCCAAATATTTAGTTAATACCTTCCGCATGAATTTTTTGGAAAAATTATCTGTTATTGCTGCAAATAAACTTACATATAAAATAAATTTTATAAATAAACTTACAGTTAAAATTGACACAACAAAACAAAATCAATGTTATTTTTACAAATAAGTTACGGCATTAACGTATACACAACTGTAAAGGCACAAACGTTTTTCTAAAGTCTTTTAATTTCCAAACAGAAAATAGATCGCCGATTGTTGGCTACGAAAAATCACCAACCTTTTGCCCTTGGCGAATAACTTTGCCAATTTTCAGATGAATAAAATTTTCACTTTTTAAAGCTTTACTAAGACATTTAAAATCTTCACCACTTAATTTGTTATTGAAATTACTTAATTCAGTAAGTTTACAATTCTCACTTTTTATAACTTCACTAAGTTTTTCAACGGTTTTATCACCTATATTACAATAATTAATATTCAATACAGTAATTTTGCAATTTTCCCTATTCAATACTTCACTAAGATATTTACCAACCCTCATCGTTAAAAATGTTTAATACAACATCCAATTCAGCTAGATCGCAATTCTCACTTTTTAATGCTTTACTAAGATATTTAGCACTCCTATCACCTATATTGCTATTACTTAAATACAATTTAGTAAGTTCACAATTCTCAATATATTCAGCACCTTGATCATCTATACTATTATTACTGATATATAAATCTTCACTAAAATATCTAGCGCTTTGATCACGTATACTATTACCGCCCATGTTTAATGCAGTAGCTAAATTTACAATTCTCACTTTTCAAAGCTTCACTAAAATATATAGAGCCCTGATCACTAATATCATTTTCTTCATTATTCAATTTATTAAGCTTACAATTCTCACTCTTCAAGGCTTCACTAAGACATTCAGCACCATGATCACCCATACTGTTATTACCGATATTTAAATCAGTAAGCTTGCAATCCTTACATTTTAAAGCTTCAGTAAGAAATTCATCACCTTAATCACCTATACTGTTATTACCGATGTATTTATAAATCAGTAAGTTTA